TTAAGGTTCTGATGGTGATGGCCTGCGAATTCCTGGTATCTGCAATACAATTTAATAAAATATCATCAAACAGTTGAAGTGACAAAGAAAAGAATCTGAAAAAAAAAAAAAAACAGATTCAAAACATCAAAATGAATAGCTCAAATAAAAATACAAAAATATTCCTCCCACGCCTTTTTCTATTTTAAATCTAATCGCCAAATTTTTCTTGGTTGTAAACGAGATGAGAATCTGAAGGAGAAGACAAAAAATACGGTGAACTTGAAATTAGCTATTTGTAATGAGATCACTCTGATATGTGTGCAACCTTTAATATCCCGATATATGTGTGTATGAAGACCTGATTCGGCTCAGAATATAGACCCATAATGCATAAAATATAAAATCTGTCTTCAATATCCATGGTAAAAAATTCTCTATTTCATTCTCCAAGGAAAATACAAATTTAAGCTGAAAAATGGAAATGCTTGGCCCTCAACAACTAACCAACTTATACTGGATGTCATATAGTTATTAAGTAACGAACTACTGAGACAAGAACACCAACCTCAATGCCATGAGGGCCTATTCGATTGCGAGAGATAAAACTGAGTAAATGAGTAGTAAATTCATCAGGCACATCTTCCTGTATTTTCACCAAACTGATTAATAAGCAACTTGTGGTCTCAATCAAGAATTACGAGAGAACTCCTCGTGAAAATGAACAAGACAGACCTGTATAGCGTGGCCAGTATGTCTGATAACAATCATTTGAAACTTGCCTTGCATTTGACCAATTGTTAGAGCTCTATAACATTGCAGATAAATTGTCAGTGTTTTAACTTGAACAAATTCTTACATTCTCAGCACCATACTTTTACGCAATAAGCTAGCTAGCTACCTGTTTTTATCTCAGCGAAGTACAAAACAACAAAAAATCTCATGGTTCCAGCTTGAAGCAATTTAATATGATAACTAATAAAGCACATGAGTACCACAACAATAATAATTGTTGTAGTAGTAGTAGTAGTCATAATTATTCTAGTTTTTATCTTTATTATTACTAAGAGAGGTATTTTTGTCAGTATACTATTTTACCTATACATAAAAACTACAGAGAGGTGACCTTTAATTCAGACTATTCTCTCTTTCAGCAACCACTCTTCTCTTTCTTTTTTCTTTTTTCTTTTTCTTTTCTCTTTTCCCTTCCTTCTCTCTTTTCAGCAAGTTACAATCATTCAACTTGGCATCAGAGTAGGACTTGTGGCCCCAAGTCCATCTACAAACAAAACATAAGCATATCTTCAAGTCTCTAAGGAAAAGTGTATTTATTCTGTTTTCTGATTTTACTGCTAAAAATTTTAAAAAAAAAAAATCTTCATGACTGTCTAGATAAACCCAGCCATATGATTTTTCTGGATTTTTTTAGCAGACTTGAGGCATCTTCCTCTATTTCTTTGATTTTCAGCAAAAAAGGGGCTGTTTTTCTGAAAAACAGATTCTGCCCCTTTTCAATGGATTTTTTGCATGAAACTGAGGCCTAAGGTGTCAGTGTTGTCTACCAACTGTTGCCCAATGGTTATTTGCAAAATTTTTGGATTTCTATGGATTTTCAGGGCTTTGGCAGTGTTTTTTGCCACAACAGGTCTGCGATTGTCAGGCTTGATTAAATGTTCTTGAGATAGTGGTTGTGTTTGTTGTGGCTTTTTGGTCTATTGATCCATTTAGAGTGCATCTAGAATTTTTGAAGATGTCAAAACCTAGCACGATCTCTCAGAAACAATAGAAAGGTATTACAAGCAAGGATCAAAATATCGTTTCGAAATGATCGAAACATCCAAAACTTTTTCGTTTCCGTTTTCAAAGAGACCGAAATAAATCAGTGATGCAATCGAAATTTTAATACTTCGAGGTGTTCCATAATGTTTTGTTATATTTCAATGTATTTACACAATTATTTCAAAATGTTTCAAGGAATTTCATTATATTTTGGTCTATTTCAACCAATATTTTGAAAAAATAATTCTTAATTTTTTTATTTTTTTTCATTATGTTTTTGAAACGGGTCAAAGGACTCAAAACGTTTTCGACACACGTCAAAATGTTTCCGTTTCATAGGTGACTGATGCACCGAAACGAAATTTTGATACTTGATTGCAAGTCAAATTGGGTTCAGTCTGAAGACCCACCCAACAAATTACAACAATAAAGCTTGATGGCCATAATTGCCAGGTGTGGTCGCAATCAGATATGTTGTTTGTTACTAAGGGAAAACTAGGCTATTTGACTGATAAAAATGAAGAATCATGGATTGACTACCCTGAATATTATAACTGGGAGGCTGAGAATCCCATGGTTATGTCTTGACTACTATGCTTTATGAAACCATAGATTAGCAATGTCTATTTGTTTCAACACACTACCTAGGAGATTTAGGACGGCGTATGAGGGCCTACTCTAAAGATGGGAAACGTGGCACATATTTACGAGAGAGCAGGGATTAGCAAATATGCTTGAAATGCTTCAAAATGCCAGAAGTTGATTGAACAAGAGAAAATTATTGAATTCTTTGTTGGCTTGAATCCCGAGTTAAATCAAATTATGACACATAAAGGATTCTCATGTTGTTTTCTCTTAAAGTCCCCATTAATTTTTAATCTTTCCTCTATGACCGTTGCATGTCAATGTATTGAGATATATTAAGTAATTGCCATCAAAAGTTTTAACTTCAATTACTTCTTATCCACTTATGTTATAACAAGCCAAAAAATAAATGAGGTATGGGAAATTAGTATTAATTAGTTTAACCATATTATCAAAAATATGCTTTTAAATAAAATCAATGACAATTTATTGGTGGACTCTTCGATTATGTATGTCGAAAAGAAAATTACTGAGAAATGTTACACTGCAAAATCAATAGATGATTTTCGGGACATAAAATAACATTGAGCTCTGTTTGAGTGGATGATTGAATTGAATTCACTACGAGCCAAGAATACTATCATTTCTTCTTGCTTTGTATCTTATTAAGGTTAAACTTGTATTAGTTTTATTTTCTTTTACTAATTTAGTTTCAATTATTATTATATTTCTTATGTTTGCGCTTAAAAATATGTACAAGCCTCTAATAGCTTATACCAATTAGCAAAATTCTTTATCCATAATTTTACCTACCCTAAGTTCTGCCCCTGCCCATGGCCTGGCTATAATTCACACACATGAAGACTTATAATGGCATATTATGCCTCCGATTATGGAACTTATGACACAAGTTCCAATTTTTTCCGTAAATTTAAAGAAAATATGGGAATGCAAGCAATGTAGACGTGAAGAACGTAGTTAATATAAGTATTTTCACGTATGTGTCCTCATGAATTACCATGTATTAGATTCCTACTTCAACAGATTACTCTTACTTTCCAAAGTCGAACAACCAACTTTAAATTTTAAACTCTAGCTATCACAGAATAGTATGATGAACAAGCATTACCAAAAAAGGCATGAACAACAAAGAAAATAAACTAACAAAAATATCATGAAACTTAATAGATACGTTTCGACTATTTTATGAGGAAAACCTGTCCAATCTATCTGTTCCAGCTAACAGCAAGAGCTTTGGAACAGCACATGACAGAAATTTTTCTGAGAGGCCTTCATACCTGGAATATAGATAGTATATTAACTATTGGAATTGAATATGCCTTTTGCGATGAAAGATGGCGCAACAAAAAAAAATGAATTGTTCATCTTCAAATAGTTCTGAAAATAAGCTACATTACATACCAATCTCGCTTTTACAAGCATCAGCTTGTTGATATTGAGAATCATGTTGACAAGAAAATATACGAATGTAGACTTATAAGGATTATAAGCCAATTAAACTAGATTCAGTTATTAAGTATTTTAATGAGAATTGAGAACTCCTCAAAGATTATTCTCTGCTCGCTGAATGGTGGCCAACCTTTAAAGAAAATCCTGAGCACATGTATTACTTAGAGCTGCACATCCAGATATCACATTGAAATGAAGTTACTCAATTCTCTGTGGCCAACATTGAAGGTTGCAATTCCATTGATTGAATAGAATGGCCTATTTTGAGGCCATTACAGTATAATAGTTGGATATCATTTTTATTACCCCGAAGAAATGATAAAATTTCGATGCTTCAGAAACAATAACAAGATACCTTGATTGCTATACCAATTCCACTCCCCTGGGTAAATTGGTCCCTACATGCTGAGGAAATAAAATAAATTCACTTCACTCCCAAGGGCATCATAGGCTAACCTAGTCATCAGAGTTTGTTTCTTAACATATCAACAGCGTAGACCCGTTACCATCCGCATTAAAAGTATTATATTAGGTTGGATTGCAAAGTCCAGGTTCTACAAACAACTCGGGTCCTAAAGAACAAATTTCAAAATAAAATCGAGAGTGAATTAAAACTGTTGATTCAAAGGAATTAGCAAGAGAACAAAAACCAAAACATTAAAAAAAGAGCACTCATAAGAACTCCACCACAGAAAACCGGCAAAGAAATGAGAACAGGATTTTATCAACAAATAGGGCAGAAAATCAAAAGAGAAAGCAGAGGTATTAATTCCTGAAGATGAAACAAAAACTCACAAAATGCTTTGATAACTACACTCAAAGGAAAGACTAAAAAACTATAAGCCAATTTTTTTAACCAAGCAGACATAAATTCTTGTTTTTAAAGTATTTGGCATCGTAAAGGTTGAAGAGCAAGCTCAAAATGACCTTCCCCGCCTGCATGAGCCCCACCCCACCCCCCCCCCCCCGGGGGCCGGCAGGAGGCTTTGTTTCCACATTCTGAAGAAGGCACAACTACAGTTGACATGAAGATAGGCAGCTGCAATTGGAAGCCATAGCCTAATAAATGGGCAGTAAATCATTTCAGTTAGTGGACAGATGGCCCAAGCCTTTTTATTTTATTTCATTTGTTTTATCTAATTTTTTGAGAAACTATGCCGGTTGAAAATGGTGACTTCTCAAAAATGCACTTTAACATGCTCTTGGAAACCAGTCTGACTATTGAAAGGAATAGTGTGACGAGGCACTACACTTCTGAGGGACGTGGCCTTCACTCCTGCCTACATATTCAAATACATGAGCCATTATGATTATGTATGATGAAAGAATTTTCAAACTATGGCCATGACACACCATAAATATTGACAAAATTAAAGTTTTCTTGTAAGTTCAGATATCTTGGCAAGGCTCTTCGACAGAACCATTATTTTCCTATTAGATCCCACTGTGTGGACATGTGTTGGGTTTGGGAATAAAAAATTCCTTCCCAGACAGGTTGGGGGTGGGCTGCTTATGCCAAATCCATCCTGTTGCCATCCTAGAAGATCTTTATAGTCCATGCACTTATTAATGTCAATAGTAATCCAACAAGAACCTACAGACATAAGACTCCTGCAAGAAATTTTCCCTTTTTTTTTTGTTTGACATATAATATCATTAACTGCTTAAATTGTAGTCCATTATGACTTCTAGTTGGCAATATCATACAGGCTTGTTTTGCATGTATGACAACATTTGTGTGTTAAATTTGTGCATTCAACCACTTATATATGGGTCCCACTATCTACCATGCAAAGTTCACGACTCATTTCATGTGCTCTCTCTCTAATAGCCAATAGGAGATTCAAACTAAACCAAGACATCCAGAATCCAAGAGCATTGAAGGATCAAGATTAAAGCAGAAACACTTGAAGATAATTTAGTAATTAAGACCATGTGGGAGCTTAAATTAGTAACAGAATCATTCAAAGACAGACTTGGAAAGAATTTTGGAAGGAAAGATGTTGACATTCTTGAGGTATTTTGGCCATAACATTTTGCTCCGATATTGGATTAAGGCGATTCTTGCGGCACTGAAAAGAAGACTCAAAGCTCTAAATTTGGATGTAAGTTGGCTAACACTGGGAAGAGGCAATTAGGCAGATTCTGCTCTCTTAGTTTGTTGCGATTTTCTTTCCTTTTCACAGATTTGTAAAGAATTATAGAAAGAAAGATTTTGACATTAGATCAGTTTTTTGGCCATAACTTTTCTTTCCAATATCAGATCAAGGCGAATCTTGCATTACTGCAAAGAAGACTCAGAGCTCTACAAATTTGGGTTATTTATGGATAAAAGCTACAGCAGTCTAAATTAATCAAGCCATGAACTATATATGGAGATGCACTATTAATTCAACAACTTCAAGTATATATAGAGTGCAAAGCCAACACTCTGCGGAGAAAAATGATACCACCCACGTGGCCTATTGTTTGAATGCCTCCCCTTTAAAAGTATCACCAAGTTAGGCCAACAAACTATTTACTCAATCTGATGATTAGGTTTGGTGGCTATACTTAATTAATCCAAGAGCCTTACCACTTTGAACCAATTGCCAATCCCCAAACCCACCACACAAAAAATGGTTTTAAGAAAACAATCAAGGAACAAATAATATAAAGTTTTCAAAGCACAGGAAAACTAGTTGTTCCGTATGACAACAAGCAACATTGAACATCCTGATACATGAGCACACACATGTCAGAGATTTGAGTCTCATTTATGATAGTAATGAGGAACTCCATGAACCCGACGTGTCCTGTCTTTAGTAGTCATATTAAATAAGAGGAAAAAAATACCAGCCTCTCCAATATTGATCTGTTTCCATGAGTCGTGCTCGGTGAACATAACTGCAATACCCGAATGAAATCAATTATGCATATTAGGTAAAAGGCTAGTGTATAAAGCTAATAAACAATATAAATAACATCCAACAAGTGATAGCTAAAGTTGATAGATTCCAGTGATAGTAAAAGCGGTGAGACTCTAGATGCAATAACTAAAAAGGGTCAACTGTTGGCTTACCATTTCTTTGAATCGTCATACTTCAATGTGCTGGGAATCGATACACGAGCAGACTCGATGTTTCTTAAAGAACCTCCTTTGACACTCCACTCAATCTAATGAGATATATATTTGAACTCATTAAAATAAACTTCAATAGTAAACCAAGGTGACATTGAAACCATAGTGTTAATCTCAAAAAAGCCTACTGTTAGATATAAAGTGAGTTTCCCATATCGAATGATTAGGACCACTCAAGGTTGGTTTATATACTTAAGACACTTTGCACTCATTGCCAATTGATTTTGGGTTGGATGCTCTAACATTAGGCCTTGGGTCATCATTGTCTCAATTTTCTTACCTATATTGAAGTTTTCAGCATGCGTGTCTATTTGTTTGTTATTCCCACATGCAAGCAAGGGTCCCACGTGAGGGAAGGTGTAAAGAAAGCTTGTATCCCATCTCAAATGATTAGAACCACCCAAGGTTAGTTTATATGATCAAGAGGTCACTCCATTTATTGTCAATTGGTTTTGGGTTGAATGCTTTGACATTAGAGGCACATAAGTGGCCTGTCATGATCCTTATTTTATTACAATTTCATGTGCTCAGCAGCAACACAAGATACAAAAACTCACAACAGACACATTATAACATTGATACAAAAAAAGAATACAAGATCAAGGATGCTAATTATGGTTTACAGCTCAAGGTTCGAATAAAAGAACATATCATAGAACAATAAAACATTGGAAATGCTGAATGTTGGGAAAGTATAAAGAAGACCACATGTCATGACTAGAGGATATAAAGTTACCAGTAGAGAACATGGAAAATTATGAAGAACAAGAGTTGAAGTTAAATCATATTGAATAAGCACTATCGTACTTGTTTTTACTCAGCTATGCGAACACTAGATTGCTAGTTTGCTCTATCAAGGGCTATATTGTTACCAAATTTTGTAGTCTACTTACCTAAAAGAAGCTCTTTTTTGTATTACCCTGTTACTGTGCAAACCACGACAAAAACAAACCAAGCACACTAATCAGTAAGCACTGTGTTTCCACACAAAACCCACCAGAGTACTATAATTTTGTTTTCTAAAGAATCATTATTAAACTGCAAGGCTCACATCCGACACTTCATCACTATATTCTTGTCCCCAATTTGTGATAATGCCTCCTATTTATTCCCTAGCCCGAATCAATCTCAACATGCTTCATTCTTCTGCAGCTCCTCACATTCAATTATCCAAATGATCATGCAATTTCCGGTTTCAGTTTTACAAATACACATTCATCACACATCACACTCTAATCGTGAGGCAACACACTCGTCAACCTTTGCATCGTTAGAAAACAACAAAACCAAGAAAATAATTCGATTAAAGAATCTTGCAGTAGTTAATTTTTTACAACTCACTTATTTATTCTTTCTTTAAATCAGATTACATGCACTCATATCTGCTTATAATCTGATTTCATCAGTCAATCCATTTATAATCAACATAGATGATATGGGGCTTCAGCTCCTTACACTCAAATGATCATGCAGTTTCTTGTTGACTGAAACTACTTACAGTAAACAACATGGCTGCCTTCTGGATTGTTATTTGCCTTCAGTTTACAAATACTCCTGAGGTAACATGCTAATCAACCTTTGCATCGTTAAAAGAAAATGATCCCATTATAAAAACTTGCAGTAGTTAATTTTTTACAAGTCACTTATTTAGACTTTCTTTAAATCATATTACTCGCACTCATACCTGCTTATAATCTGATTTCATCAGTCATCCATTTTATTGGCACAATAGATCTTTTACTAAGTGTCTGGTTTATTCATTTATAATCAACATAAAGATATAGGGCTTCAAGCTAAACGCTAGGAAACTCATCATATACTCTCAGGCATTCCCCAAGTCTCTGAAGACTAACTAGGTCTTTCTGTTTCTTTCTGACCTTTTAATTAGTCACGAAAGTACACAGATCTATTTGTGTTCTAAATAATAAGCGACTCTTGAAAATCTGAAACAAATTTATCAAACACTGTTCTCCCGAAAATAAGACCACTGTAAGTAGAAATGAAGACCACTGTAAGTAGAAATGGGTGTCAAAAGACGATCTTCTAATATTTCTATTTCGCAATATCAATAAATAAACCTTTTAGACCTTGGAATTTAGGTGATGTCTCTCCTTTACACACATTAATGAGGAAAACAGAAAAGCATCACATTTTTTCTCATTCCAAGGTCAAATTGATTTACAATGCTTATGTATCTAACAATGATTAAACATTTAGAAACAATAAATTGAAAAAAAAAAAGAAAAAGAAAGGATTGGAGTGCAGAGTAAATAGTTTACCGCTTTCTCGATGGTTGAAAAATATTGCATTCTGTTTGATAGGATTTTCTGCATGTGAATCAATGAGGCCATGGCTGTTCCCTGAAATCCTACTAATTGTCAGTAACGCTTCAAGTAACCGTGGATAACAAGATGGCTCTATGCAAAATTGAAGGCACTTAGTCTAAAACAAACCTCAACAACATCCACAACAACCAGCCCAGCCAAGCTAGGTAATGCTTTGTTTGCAGCAACATGCACTGCAACTGAGCCTCCCATGCTTTGTTAAAGCAATGCAAGTCCAATCACCCATTGTTTAGAGATCAAACAAAACATCAGTAAATAGTTCGGTATTGCGATGATTTATTTCAGTTTAAGCCATGGTTTCACTCCACTAATACACAGGGAGACAGGAAAATCAGAGATAACAACTGCTTTTGGCAGTCTCTTAAGAAGAAACATAAGAAAAGTAACAAAACAATGTTAGCACTTAGCACTTCATAAGTAGGTCTGTTATGCATTTTAATCATGCAGGTACTCACAGGTACCGCTTAGAAAATCAAATTGCAATAGTGTTAGCAAGAAAGATGGAGAACCCGAAAAATGTAAACCAAATTAACAAAATGCCCTTCATTAAAAATCAACTGAAATTGTGTATCAACTAGCTTGTATCGCACAAAAGTTATTGGTAGATTACGCTATACATGATTAAGATATGAAGTCATTTGATCAACTTTTGTATTTGAAAAAAAAAAGAGCCTTAGCGGTGTACTCCATCCTAAAATGTACCCCTTACCTACTATTGTGATCTGTCTACCAATGCCTGTTAAGGACAAAACATTAATTTCTCCATTAACTTTTTCCCCCATTGTTTGGATATCACCCTACCGCAAGTACATTACGTCAATCAACTGTATAGACAAGTTTTCACACATCAGTGTAGACCAAATAGGGAAGAGCATAACTGAAAGAGATTTGCCTATAGAGTACTTGAGTGTTCCCGAGTTAGATGACCTAGGAGATGGCAATAATAAATAAAAAGTTGTTGGGGGATTCACAAAATTTTTTGCAGTTAACAAAACTATTGGAAATGAAAATAATAAGCCAAACCAAGCTACTCGATTGAAGCTAATTCAATTTCGCACCTCATATTTCTTTTCCCCTCTTTTTTGGGGTTCAGTTCTTATCAAGTTCATGAGCACCTCAATAGGACGATAAATATGTAAAGAGAGGATGTATCTCACATCAAATGATTCAGACCACCTAGGGTTGGTTTATCTGCTTGAGATGCCTCTCCGCTCATTGTCACTTGACTTTAAATTAGATGCTCTAACATGTTATCAAAACTAGGTCTTTGGTGGTCAGTAGGTCAAGTCTCATACCCATTTCAATTCTCGATATGAATATTTGTTTTTTTTTTGTTAACCCCATGTGCGAGCCCAGCTCCCACATGAGAGAAGGTGTAAAGAGAACTTGTATCCCACATTGAATGATTAGGATCACCAAAGGTTAGCTTTATTAGAGCATCCAACCCAAAACCAACTAGTTATAAGTGGACTAGCCCCTCAAGTATATAAGCCAATTTGGGTGGCCCAATCATTCGATGTGAGGTATAAGCTCTTTTTACACTATTTGGGATCCGGACTTGCAAGTAGGGATAACAGGCAAATAACCCTACATACAAGGAAATTTAAATGGGTCAAAGACTTGACTCACTGACCATTCAAGGCCCAACTCTGATACCATGTTAAAGCATCCAACCCAAAACCAATTAGCTATGAGTTGAATAGCCCCTCAAGTATATAAACCACCTTAGGTGGCCCTAACTATTCGATATAAGATACAAGCTCTCTTTACAAGTTTATATACTTGAAGGGCATTTCCACTCATTGTCACTTGGTTTTGAGTTGGATACTCTAACAAAACCATGTTACTAAAAGTTTGATTAAGATCAGCTTTTGGCTAATCAAATTTTGGGTTATATTGAGTCTTATTTTAATCTTATTTTTGAACTTTTTGTTAACAACAATCAAGGATCAAAATTTCGTTTCAATGTATAGTTTTGATCAACTCGAAAACATTTTGTAAACAAAGTGGGAATATAGAAAAAACTTAAAAACTTGTGAAAACAGATGGAAATAAAAATTAAAACCTTTTTATTTGTATAAATAAGGTTACCAATCGATTAATCAAGAATTTTTATTGTCTACACATCCATCTATACTAGATAACACCAACTTAGAGAACAAAAATAAAGGTTAAATAATGTCAAACGCTTTGTTTTTGTCAAACATAGACTCCATTAAATTCAAAAATATCATGTCACTACTTTTAACTAAAATAGCACCTATATAACACATTATATCAATAATTAAGCATAATTATCAAAAATTTATTATGTGCATCATAAAATTAATCACTAAATTACTAACAATGTTGTGCCATCAAACTATTAATTAGTATTGTTCTAGTAAAATTTATGTAGGCAATTTGCATATAACTTAATGGTTAGGTCTTTTAAGAAATAACTCAAATTTGAGTACATTGAAGATTTGTAATAAATATAGGCAAATATGATAACTTGGCTAAAGAGTCAGAATAAATTTGTCTAACAGATTCTACAAAGTTAGAAGGAAAAAAATAAAAAAAATGAAGAGGGAAACAGACGCCTATCAAGATCGCATGAGAGAGAAGGGGAATAAAGGTAAAAATTGAGGGCAAAGATAACGTGAATAAAACATAAACAAGTCATCACATTGGTCAATTGTGATTACCAGTCCCTTCCTCTAGTCATTATGTTGTGAACCAAAATTTCAACTACTTGCATAATAATAATGTCTTCAGTAAGAAATAAGTTAACCTTTATATGGTGTTTGCCAGCAATGGGATGGGGTATGTTTGTGTCTAATGTGATGGTGGGGGTGGAGATGGGAGGCAGGGGAGTAGGGGCGGTCTCCATGTGGATGGTGGGAGGTGAGAATGATTTTTACAGTAGAGAATTATGGATCAAAATTTGGAAAGATTGAAAGATGGCAATGCAATCAAAACTTGTTTGGAATTTTAAGAGTAGTTTGGACTTTTTCAAAGAGACGTTACCTCAATAACGTTTTGCCCAGTGGTTGAAGTTGAGGCAAGTCATCTGTAATCGTCCCTAAGTAATGGGAGTTTTTGGTAACAACCCTTTATATATATTCTCAAGTCTTCTATGTTTTTATACAATATAATGTATATGTGGCCTATGTCTTGTCTTTGCTCACTCAACTTTATGCATAGGATGTGGTCATTAAGGTTGTTCCAACATCCAACTCAAAATCAATTGACAATGAGTGGAGAGGCCCCTTAACCATATAAACGAACCTTTGGTTGTCCTAATCTATATAATAAAACACATAACAACTTAAATTTTATCCCCTACATATTTTTCCTCTCAAAAACATCACATTACCTATTTCTATCACATGTTCAATCATTTAATATTTGATTAATTTGTAGTTTAATATAATTTTTATTTAGACATTATCTATACACGATAGTATACACATGCTGAAAAAATTTTGTCAAATTATGTATTTTGAGAAAATTGTTAATATTTTTAAGAAAATAATTAGTAAAAATAAATTTTAACTGATGTAATTAAAGAAATTAAGGAAAAAAATTGTTATTTAATATAGTGAGATCAATTTTTTGGGCATTGAAAATTTATATTTCATTGTGCCTTCAGGCACGGGTTATGACTAATCATTCGATATGTGATAAAAGTTGTCTTTACACACTCCCTAACATGAGACCCATGCTTGCACACATACAGTTAACAAACAGGCAACCATGCATACCAAGACATTCAAATGGGTATGAACCTTGATCCAAAGATCACCCAAGCCCTAACTCTAACACCACATTCAAATATTCAATTCAAAACCAATCGGCAATGAGTGGAGAGGCCCTTTATGTATATAAACCAAACTTGGGTGGTCTTAATCATTCGATATAGGATACAAACTGTCTTTACAAAAGTCACCTAGCAATTCCAGTGCCTTATGCACGCATGACCTCCTTTTACTTCAGTCCCAGATCCTAATTGTCGCGGAATGGCAAGAGATATGCAGTGAATCTTCCCTTACAATTAGAGGTGTCAACTTTGATCCGTTGATAAGAACTCAACACGACCACGACATGACACGAATATAAAATTGACACGATTATTAAATACACATGATAAATGGTCTAAGCTGATGTTTAATACTCATAACATACTAAATATTTTTTTTTTCATGGGTCTTAACACGAACACAAATAACAATGACACGGCACGAAAATACACAACACGCAGGTCACACAACACGAAACACGGGTTACACGAACTGACACCCTTACTTACCTAAGAAGCACTGACACGAACACACAATATAGATACGACACGACACGAACACGCAAACATGACATTTCTAAAAAAATAGGACGCGAGTTACGCTACAAAAAATTGTATTTTATATATAACATTATATAATTTATCGTAAATATAGTGATACTGATATACAACTCATAAAAGATTCAGTATTTTAAGATAATTAAATCTTATGTATAGTCATTTGTGTAAATTTTTAGACTAAAACATCATCTTAATAGTCAATAATCATCAATTTATTTTTGTACACAATGTTTACCTGATATATAATTTAAATAATTCCTCTTATTTTCGTCAATTCATCTTTTTTTTAATTTTTATACGTCTTTTATTTTTATTATTATATTTAAAATACAATTTTAACATGTCTAGTGTAAGTAATTACATGTTCTCAAATTTTTAAACTTTGTTAATCACATTTCAACACATATTTATTATTTAGTAGTAAACGCGTTCTAAAGAAATGTCGAACACGCGTACTAAATTAAAAGTTTATCATTTACTTATGGACACGGATAAAAGAATATCGAACACGTGTGCAAGAGTGTCCGAAGAGTGTCGATAACCGACACGGATACGTCACCTTCTCGAGAGTGTCCGTACTTTATAGTTACTTATAATAATACACGTAGGTTGTACGACACTAACTAGAGAAGGGTGAATAGGTTAATTAAAATTTAAATTCGGGTGACCACCAATTTTAACTTATATCCACCACAATTATCTCGTCACAAAATGATATGAACGTAAAGTGTGAAAACCCCTTTTAACCATCATAACGCAAAACACCCTTATAGATTTGTTTATTGATTTTATCATTTTGTTAATTAACACTTGATCTCACAAAGCGATCCTGACTAAGGCACCCAAACTCAATCAAGTAACTATATGTGATATGTAGATTCAAACAATTACTTCATCAAACACATATAGTGTTTGTGTGTGTGCATCAAATCACAAATGTATATGTAAATATAATAAATAATATAAGTGATTTGTTGACGCAGAAACCCTAGTCAAGAAAAATCGAAAGAAACCACTCAAATTCATCAAAACCTAATCCAATATCCCAAGGTTCGTTTACATGTATTCAAGCCTTATACCTCAACCAATACCATGGCTAGACGCTCATTTCCTTCAATAAACCTGTGCGCCAAAACTCCCTCTTCAACGTCTAGGATAACTTCACTTGAACTCCCCGTCACACGATTCGTTTAGGCCTCAAACATTCCTAGGACGCACTCACAAATATCGATATGCATACTTGTCGACGAGTTTGGATAGAAATCACTAGATGGTAGCCTTTAGATTTAGAGATCTAGGGTTGTGGCTCAAGCTCTCAAGGTGCCAAATAAGTTGAATTTACTCTCAATATACTTACCCAAAGCTGGGAAGGCATCCTCCTATTTATAGTCTCAGAATAGGGTTTATCTTGGGGACAAAAAAAATAAAAAATTCGCGAACAACCTCTCGAGCCGTCTCTGAGACCGCTCGAGTGGCCCAAAAGGCAACCTCTGTTGCTTCTTCATTAGAGATAGCTCTAGCAAAGGCTAACGAACATAGGGCAATTTCTACTGGTTTTTTAAAGTCTAAAACCAAACAAAAAAAAATTGTCCTCTTAAACACTAAAAAGTGTTGCTCAAGAGGAGTCTGCTAATAGCTCAATCTATGTTCTCAACACACAAAAAGAAGTTTAGAAAAACTTTTCTTTGAATAATAACTAGAAGTCATACAAGGATCAATTACCAATTCCATTTTGACACCAATAGTCCTAAATCTAACAAATTAAACCAAGAGTTCTTAGATCTCTAAGGTCATTACATTTGTCTTAAACATGGAGGTGCATACAGAGAGTTCATATGATGAAGCTTGAAGCTCCTTCCTTCCTTTAAACACTTTTGGATCTTCATCGTTGTAGCATCATAACCATAGAATAGGTTGAGATTTACAAGAACTTCACAAAATTAAAAAATTACAAAACATGATCCAACACTAATATCGGTCGATACAAGTGCTAACATGAAGTATTTAACCGTCTCCACATATCTTTGATGATGGCTTCAATGTGCATTTCATAAGATTGTCAAACTTTAACAAGACTACAATATCAACAACAGAAGATTTTGCAACACCCCAATGAATTTTTTTTTCTAACATGCTGATGAAATTAGTATCTTTACCACTAACCAAAACTTGAATACTTTACCCATTAGCTGATAGTCTAGTGATATCTCTTGCTATCTGTATTAAGAAGTTGCAGGGAGTCGGACAAAAACAAAAAACAAAAAACAAAAAACAATCTTCCCCTCTCCAAAGAAAAATAAAGAAAAAAAAAACCAATGAAATAGATAAATCCACACAGATCACACATTGCCCATCTGCAAGTCAGCACAACTTTAAGTTTTCCATAAAGTAAGCTTCGCATGGTAATTAGAAAAAATAAAAACAAAAAGGCTACCAACTTATGAAAAGGGCCAAACCTGTGGCCAACAAGCACAATTGCAGGAGGAGAATCTCCATACATAGTCTTCACAACAGCCAGGACATCACCACATAGAGTCTGCAGGCAATAAAAAATCACTTCAACTCAGGTAGAGGGATTGTATGCCAATGTTCATGGCAAAAAGAAAAAAGGAATCTTCTAAATCCCAACTACTGAAGTACAAGATGAGCAGAATGCATCTTGTAGTATTAAAATCGTTCAGCTTTCGGAAACCTTGTACCTCAATAGATAGATCTAGTTCACTTTCTGAGGATGATTTTCCGTGCCCCCTCAGGTCCATAGCTACTACCCGAGCTTTCTGCTTAATTTTACTTGCTGCCAAAGCAAATGAAAGCCTGGGAAAATGATAAATAAAATGAACCTCACATAAAATGTTAATAAAGTGTTCATGTGTTAAAAAAAGGAGCATAAGATGCAGGAATCCAATTTTCCTTTTTTTCCAAATCTAAGTATAGAAGTGAGATGAGAGACATTAAATTTGTGAATGTATTGCTCTCAATAATCTTTAAATTGACTGCAGGAATGTCAGATATACAAAATATTTGAATGGCAAATAGGCCAACTCTGAGAAAGGCACAAATTAAAGCGAAAAATTTTCAATATCATTAAAGATAGATATTTTATATCTCATCCTCCATAAGGAAGCTAACGTTTGTCAGCATCTACTAAAATTTAGGAAAATTTCAAAAAAGGCCTTCAGAAAATAAAGATACAAACAAAGTCCTCATATAACCAAATGGACGAAACCTCATCTTAGGCAACATATATGTCATGTTTATAGCTAAAAAAATGTCAAGCATGTAACAAGCCTCAAGTAATGACATTCATGTTCCAATCTTACAATGAATATATTTTATAATAGTAGAAAGCAATCCATATCCATCCTGATAAGGTTCTGATATCATCAACAATAGTATAAAGAAAAACCCATAGAATTCTTTGTTAAAATTAAATACAGAAGGATATTGCTCGAGAACGAACACCAAGAAATTAATGTGGTTCGGTCCTAAGATCCATATCCACAACACACAAAACTCCCCTGGGGCAACATCTTTTATTCAGCCTTGATGATCAATACACATACGACAACCCATACATGTAAGGTGAAAGATAATAGGGATTGAAATAAATTTGTTAACGCAGAGGTAGGGTTTTGGAGAGAATGCAGGAGGAGGCAGAGAACATGTATTACCATGTCTCCCCACACTATGTATATATACGTATGCAAAGTACAACCAAAGACCTATATACCCCTTAAGGACTAACGAATATATTTATTACAAGAGTGTCATTCCTATATATAAGTATATTCTAATAAAATCAAAATATTTGATTAAGCCCCTGATTATGTCTATCTGTTGGATTATCAATCACAAAATATCCCCCCAATCATGTCTATCTGTTGGATTTTCAAGATTTCACTCTTCCTCTTATTATCTTCTCTTCTTTACAAACTTCAAAACACTGCAAACTATCAAGAATTGACCCCTTGACCTCCTTGTTGAAGTATGTCAGGAAAACAAAAAGTGACAAACTAAATTAGCCTGGTATTAGAGTATCAATCAAAGCCCAAAATCTTTTAAAAACATAAGAGAGAATGTCAAAGAGACACATGAGAGACAAAATTAAGTCGTAGTAGATCCAAAGCATGCAAACGACATAGAAGTGCTATTGGTAGTTAAATAGTAGTGAAGGGGAGAAGATATGAGAAAAAAAAAAAATAAAGATGGATCGTTAATCATATGATGGTAGCATCTAAATCAAGCACCCAAGTGTAGCGATATATACCTAAAGGAATCGATGAAGACAAACCTAAAAGAGAAGAAGCAAATAACACATTAAACTAATGTGTAGAAAGAAGTTCCTGAGATTGCTCAACAATGAAAGTCGAAGAAGGGATGGATTGGGACTGATCATCCATAGGCAGTCTAATATCTGAATCTCCACATGTCATAACCTTAATTATAATAACATAGACCAATCTTACTCAATGATCAAAGTAGCATGCAAGTTCCCCACACACAAAGGTCTTACCACAGCTTGCTCTAAAATTTTGTTGCGATTCCTAAATATGTTAGGGCTTATATGCAAATTATCTTAAATTTTAGGGGTTTCCATAATTTCAGAAAACTTTCGAGTTGATTTTGGAATTTAAGAACGCTCGGGAATCAATTCAATTCAGTAATTTCAAAATTACTTTTTAATTGAGTGGGTCGGGTAGAAACTGGATCGGGGAATGGATACTGCGTTTGGGTTAAGTTTTTTTATTTGAACAAATTGAGTCACTGGGATCCGGATCCGAAAAGGTTGAAGCCTCAGAAACTAGTCTTCTTCCTGTGTAAACTGGATAGCAACCAAACCCTAAAAATGACAGAAACAACAATAGTTGACAGCAGCTACATTCTTGCAGCACAAGAGGAAGTTGTAGACGAGCGGCAAAAATAAGTTACATGATGAAAAGCCTTCTACTTAGCCACAAAGGCAACACAAGTTATACTTCTAAAGCTTGCACAATGTAGCACATAGCCTGCTGATCCAATAGCCAGTTTAAGTACCCTGTGACCACTCCAAACAAACGGGCTTCAAAAGAAATGCAAGACTTGATAGAGGCACCATAGAAACTTCCCGATTCTTTACACCAACGCCAGAACTTCTGTCACGTCAAAGAAAGGTACTGGTCTTCTTTGTTATTGCTAATACAAAGGAGCAGTGATATTGATGATGACAAAAGAAGAAACAATGGTTGAGCATACTTGAAAAGCTATACACACTTTGTAGAGAGAGAAGAAGTCTGTTCTGCTCCCACGTAGTATACTTGAAAAGCTAGATCACACTATGTAAAGAGAGAAGAAATCTGTCTGCTCCCATCTAGTATTCCATCATTGAAAAAAAAGGTACAAGAGAGAATATGTAGAACCCTACAACGAGAAAAAGACCAAACTACCCCTAAAGAAATAGACAAACGAAATAAAATATTAACACTCCTCACCTTATTTCTATGCTAATTGTGATGTAATATTTTGCTTGGAAAAGACTTTGAATGGTCAAGAATTAAAAATTTACTTGAGCATTAAGTAAAAAACAAGCACTGCAGCAAAAGAAAACACAACATACCCAGAATAACCACCTCCATGTAGACAAAAAACAACTGGTCCTTGTGTTCCTGCCATGTAGATGTGGAAGACCTGCATTGATAAGACCCATTAACTAATATCCACTTCAACAACAGAACCACAGAAAGAAAAGAAAAACTTTCAAATCCAATACAGTAGTTGAAAGAGAGATTAACCAACATCATTTGAATCTGGGATGCAAACATCATCCTCTCGATCAAAATAACCCAACCAATCTAAGGATGAGTATTTTTGTGAAGAAGTCCTACAAGAAGAAACCATAAAAGTAATTTAGATATCTTTACTCAAACACTAACAAAAAGAAAGAAAAGGAGAAAGTAACATCTTTCTGATCCCAAATTGTCAAAAAAAAACTGGGTAATGTTATGATGTTTTATGATCTCATGATTGGCAGGTTTCAATACGAATTAAGTCATGTTCCTTAAACTTACCCCGTGTTTTAAACAGTCAACATGCTCAAAGGAGTCGGACATGAAAAGTACCAAAAGTTAAACTAAATGGACACAAATCAGTGACAGAGCCACCCTTAATTTTGTTCCTTTACATTGCATATATGTTTTAAATATTTCTTAAGAACTTATGTCCGCCCTATTACTTTCTTCTCATATCAATTGATATGCCCTATACCTGAATGACTTTAACTTTCTTGCATATCAATTCATACTTATGACTTTAACATTGATTTTACCAATTGTAACTGCATTTCTAGCTATACGGATTGTGAATACTCAGTTGCAGTAGTGGAGCCACCAAGGGACAATAGCCACCTTTAATTTTTTTTCTTTGAATTATATATATATATTTCTTAAATAATATTTGGTTATGTCTACCCTATTACTCTCTTTTCAAATCTATCTAATAAAACCCCTCCCAAATTGAAAACATAGCCCCATAAACCACAAAAATGGTTCATATCAATTCCAAATCAATCCAATGGTCCACAATCACTCATTTTTTTCCCACCCAACTATTACTCTTTCTCCATCAAACCGCCATCACTAGACCACCCATCTCAGTCATCACTCCACCTCAACTCTCCCACACCAAAGCCACACAGCCACCGCCAACTCCACCACCAACTGCACCTCCACCAGTGCCAACACAGCCACAGCCACTGCAAAGCACCACTTCCACCACCAAAGCCACAGCACCATCAGTGCCAGCGCCACCACTACCAGTTCCATCGCCAGCATCAATGCCAACGCCACCACCACCAAAGGTAAGTCTTTCCCTCCCCTCTCTCTGCTACACCCAAATCCCAAATCTCAAATCCCTCCAAACCCTAACCCGATTTTTGGTTCCCTCCCCCTCTCTAACCAAACCAAACCAAACCAAACCAAATCAAGCCTTATGTCCCAATCATTTGAAGTCGACTATATGAGTCCGTCTTCGCCATTCATCTTAATCATACATTATGCACTCATTTAAATTATCCCTCCCCCCTCTATGCTACACCTAAATCTAAATCCTCTCTGCTCCACATAGATCCCAAAGCCAACTACGTTCTCTCTCTGTGCTACACATTAAAAAATACACACCCACACCAATCCCCATCCCCCAACCCACTAACCTCAAACCCCACTCCAATGTATTTCTCTCTTTATATCTCTCTCTCAAACACTCACCTACCCTATAAACCCTCTGTTTTTGAAGAGCCCCCACCCACACAGCCGCATAACACTCAACGCACACACAAACATGCACCCCACACACACCCATTTGTTAATTTGATGGAATTGGTGTTAATGTTAATTGTTGTCAATTTTGCTATCAATTGTTTTAATTGAATGCAATTGAGGAAATTTGGGTATGTTAATTTCATGAAATTTGGGGATTTTGTGGAGTTCTTGATAATATGTTATCAATATGATTTGGGTATGCTAATTTTAATGAAATTTCCTCAATTTTATGGAATTGGTGTTAATGTTAATTTTGTCAATTTTGTTATCAATTGTTTTAATTGGATGGCATTAAGGAAATTTGGGTATGTTAATTTCATCAAATTTGGGAATTTTGTGGAGTGCTTGATAAAATGTAATCAATTCAATGTTATTTTTAATCTCTTTCGCTTGGAAAGAGTGACTACATCATGCAATGATACATCTAGGTTTGTTTTAGGTGTTATGAGTGGTTTAGTATTTTGCCTTAATCAAATTCCCACTTTATGAATTGTAAATTCCAATACCATGTTTATATTTATGGTTGGATTATCTTTCTATTAATGATAGTAAAATATGTTTTGTTCTTGGACTTTATTTGGATTTTATATGATACGGAATACTAGCAACATACCCATGCCAAAGGCACTATCTATCTAACAAAAAAAACATTTAGTCACACATTACACCCACAAACATAGTTATTAGTATCGTACAATACGTTACGATACACCTGAAAAACAATACGTATCGTCTCTCTATCATTTTTGCAAACCGCATCGTACGATACACAATACAATATGATACATCTGATACGTACGATACGCGACGATTCTGTTTTTTTATTTTTTAAATTTTTTTTTTGGAGCTAAATTGATATTATTTTACCCTAAGACTTATTTTTAAATCACTAGTCATTGAAATAACGTCACTTGAGTAGTTATGGTTTAAAAAAATAAAATAAAATTTGTTGTTAATGTAGTTCAATTGAATTCAAAATTTCTGATTAATATTAAGATTGTTCAAGCAGTTGACATTAAAAGTTATAGGTCATTAAATTTTGATGTTATTGAACTATACTGGAAATTTGAATAGTTGGTGGAATATTAATAAAATGTTATGTTATTATGAGTTTATGACTTTTTTACATGATACGATACGATACACTATTTTTGAAAAACAATACGCCTTCTGATACGCGATTTGACAACTATGCCCACAAATACAAACTAAAAACCCTTCAAGAGGCAATAGAAATCTACAACTCCAAAGTGCTCTTGGTAAAACAACTAGTTCATGAAATAAGTATTAACAATCAAATAAATGTATGGACTAAACATAAAACATAGCAAAAAATTGATGGTTGATGTGGGTATATTTGAAACTGCCACCTTCCTTATTAGATGGACTAGGCAATACCCGGGCCTAAAGGCATGATGTAACAAAAAAATATCAATTACAAAAATGAGAATTCATTGAAAAAAGTTAAACCGCATTCAAGCGCAAAGCACTATCAATACAAGACTATGAGTATTCATTGCTAAGTTTGTCTTCCTTGAAAATGGTTGTGATAACATTACACCATGGCTTTGCAGGCCACAAAGGGGTGTGAAGGGTCCCAAATAGGCCACGATGGCACTTCATGGATTTTCTAAGCAACACTGAAACATATCTGGAAACCCAAATTATAGTTTTTAAAGGTATAGAAGAAAAAATTAGAAATCGTTAAGTTAATGTTTGTTGGATTGAAATTGTTATGCCATGTAAGGAGTGTATTGATATTAGTTAGTATAATGGGATGCTATTTGGTGTCACAACCTTCTGATATATTCACTTGCTTTAAAGTTGTGCTTATTAATTTTTTGTTTCTCGATACATAGATTGGGAATGGTTAATATAAATTGAACCTTTTTGCTAGGACTTCGAAGATTTCAAGTTTGAAATTGAGAATGATTTATATCAATTGAATTTGAGGTTATCTCTCTTTGTTGTATCCGTAGTTAAACACGTATATGCATTATTTCTAACATATTCACTTGCTTATAACCTTTATCACAACTACATTATTCCTAGTTATCACAACTTTATTTGACCTTATAACAAACTTATAACCTTGTTGAACTAAGGATGACCCACAAATCAAATTTTTCTAACTTCATGAACATGTCACACTCTCTTTAGAATCAATGGGCATGTTTGATTTGCATCTCAAAAAATAGTATCTCAAAAAATAATACCTCAAACTATCTCAAAAAATAGTATCAGTCCCTCTAGATCTATATATATTATTTAGATTGACATTTTCACAAAAAAAAATTAATAAATCAAACTTTAAAAATAACCAAACAAATTCAATGGTCTTCATAAAAAATAAAATCAATATTAAAAAATTAATCAATAGCCTTCATCTGAAATAAAACCAAACAGATTCAATAGAAAAGATATACAAAACACCAATAATTTAAAAAAAAAAAAAATAACGCAATCAGCCCCTTGAACCAGATCTGGAGGAGTCATTCGAGGGGAAGGTTGTTCTTGCCGATCGAAGTCAGTTGTTCTTGCTGATTGAATCAGATTTGAAGCCACTTGAACTAGATCAGATCTGAACCAAAAAATCAAATCAAATAAAAAAAAAAAAAATCAGATCTAAAGATTGGTTGATCTCGCCGATTGAAGACTAATTGATCGCGCTGATTGAACCAGATCAAACACAGATCCGAAGCCCCTGTGTGTGTGTGTGTGTGTGTTCGTTCTACGGAGAGCAAAAGTGGAGAGAAACAAAGTCAAGGAAAGAGAGAGGCAAAAAAGAAAAAAATATTTTCTAGTACATTATGTTTTGTTGCTAAGGAGGTACGAGTGGGAGGCCTCATAAATGGGTGTTTTGTTTCCCGTGTTTCCCATTTTTCCGTCTTTTGTCTCCAAAACACCCCAAAAAAAGTCAAGCTTGTTTTCTAAAATTAGATCTCATTTCCCACTTTTTTTGAAAATTTGGAGAATGAAAACTCTAACCAAACAAGTTTTGTCTTGTTTTTAGTATTTTGAGAACAAAAAACAATTTTTGAAACACTATCCAAACAGGCCCAATGTCTTCCCAAATGTCATTTTTAATTTTCTATTTCTATCTCCAATTCCAAGTACTTGTGCGACACAATCATTGCCTAGGGTTACACTACCTCCATTTGACTTTTGATAGATTTTAAACATGCCACGGTCAAAATAAACATGTATATTAACCCCCGAGTCTAACCACCAATCTTTATTTTAATTGGTAAAATTAACTAATGAAGATTATTCCTAAAGGTGGGTTTGGTAGAATTATCCCCATCCGCCAGCACATTGAAATGGGCTCTTAGATCTTTTGATACTCTATTTATTCAC